TCTTTTACGCTGAATGAAGCATGCCTTGTAAACATAATTTTCTTAATTCGAAATTTAAAATAATTTAAATTGAAAGCTATACAAAGGATCTTTCTTATATAAGTCAATCTCTCCATCTCAAATTATAAAATAGTTTTAAACAAAATTTTATATATTAATAAATCTCATTAAATATATTCAACAATTTTATTTTTTCAAAATGAAAATATATATTTGATTTAATAACCTTAAATCTAAGCTTATTAGTATTAAATAGAGAGAGAAAGAATACTATTAGAATAAACTTATTTAATAAAATATTAATATTTTTAAAATATTTTATATTTTGAGATAATAAATTTTTTTCAAAAGTATTTTATATTTTAGTACAGAGAGAATATTTTTATTGTACATGAGATAAGTACAATAATTTGTATACTTTCAAAGTATTGTAAATATTACAATTACAATATAAAGGGTGAATGTTTGTAACTTTTCAAGATTTTTTTTAATTCTACACTAAAAATTGCGTAACTTATAACATGAATAGTCTCTTGAGAGTTGTTCATAATTAATAAGTATAATCTCCAAATGTTTTTTATTTTACATCTAAAAAGACAGTCACAAACATTGATTTATATTAAATATAGTAATCTAAAACACTAGTACTTATATAGATATTTTCTTCAATTCAACATATAAGTTCAATTTAATTAATTAATTTTTCAGGGACCAAGTAAAAGAGTTAAAAACGATTAACTCATTAAATTTGTCAATAAATTATATTACCTAAGGTAAATAAAAGGGAAAACAATATGTAATGCCCTAGGCCAGGTATCATTAAATTAGACTTATACTATATTTTAAATTAAAGAAAACTTGGAGAAGAGAACTTATATTTTTGACTGGGTAGAGGATATGAAATGACACTGCATTTTTTAATGTTCCAACTTCTAAGGGCCTGTTTTGGATACCTTTGAAAATTAAGTCAGAGTTTGAAATTATGATTTTAAAAAATTTTATTCAAACACTCTAATTTTTTCAAACCCCATTTGATTTTTAAAGCTTCATTTGGAATAAGCTGAAATTTATTTCATTTGAAAAATCATTTCTAACCATTATTGGCTTGCCACTTTGAGTAGTAAAATAATCTACTCAAAATTGATTTTGAAAAAATTATTCAAACATTCTCAGTTTTATCAAAATCAGTTTCTATAAATTCATCTAAACATCATCACATTCTAATAATTAATATTTCTCAGTTAAAATCCAAATACATCCTAATATATTACCATAATCTTGTGTGATTAATTAAGAAAAATTATTGAAGTAGCCCTTATACAGTGGTTGAAGAATGAAGGTGAGGCCTGCAATGAGGACAATACCGCGGTCAATAACTTGAAATATTTTTTTGTTAAAAAATATAATTATATATTTAAAAATATAAAATATTTTTAGTTTTTTAATATGTCATTAATAAGTTTTTTTAAAATATCTTTAATAAATATACCATTCAATCTTGTAATTTTAAACGAAACACTATATTAAATAAAAATAAATACAAAAAGATATATTATTAATTTAAAAATAATTAACCATATTTTTTTAATAAAAAATGTAATTTAATTAAAAATATTTTATATTTTTTAATGAAAATAATGGGTTGTAAGCTATTCAAAAACCACTATTAGACTCTTCAGGATTTGCCTTTACAAATGGTACGCCAATGAGGGTCATATTAGCCTAAAAAGACTATGATCTTTTTTTTTTTGGGTAAGAAAAAAATATTTTGAACTTTATGGTGGTATAGGCTTGTAGTTCTACAACCATTAATACATATTTGATATAAAAAAATATTTTATAGAAAGAAAATTGAAAATGTATCTAAAAAATTATATAAATGTATTTATCATTTTTTTAGAAAATACTTTTCTATTTACAAAACATTGCATGATTTCTATTTCTTTCATGACATTCTAAAATACTCTTTAAGGGTAAAATTGATAAAATTTAAAAGTAATTGTAATTATACTTACTTAACATTTAAATGAACTAATTTACTAGGGAGAATGGCAATTATAACCTAAAAGATTGAATTGCTGACATTTAAGCTACTAATAAAATTTATAAGAAATGAATTGCAAACATTCATTAGAAGATTACAAACATGAATCTCGGTTACAATTTAAGATTTATGTTTAAAACTTAAATACAATTGAAAATTGTGAATTATAATTATTAAAATTATTTTTTTAAAAAAATTGTTGGAGACTTGACTGTCATTAGTTTAATCTTTTGATTCATTCTTCTAATATTTAACACGTTCATCTTAGTAAAATGTCAATATCAAAATACCCAAATTCCCTCCGCCAAAACAAATTATAAAGATCAGATCGGCATGAGCATGACACGTTTATGCGAAATTTGCCAAAGAATTTGGAATTTATTTTATACACAAGTTATATTATTAAGAATAATTATGACAATAATATATTGCTAACCTTTTAAAATACATTTAAATGTATTATATCAAAGGATAATTTTTTATTAAAATATTGAGATGAGATTAGATGGCGGCATGGCGCTTTGACAATTTCTAAAAAACTGATCACCAAATATAAAGTAAATAGTTTAACTTTCATTAAAAAGGGAAACATTTTTAATATGGTAAAAAATTTTCTTGGGCGTTTTAAATATGGTACAAGATTTATTTATCTATTTTTTTTGGTATGGTACAAATTTTAAATAGTAAATAGAAGATGGATAGATAGATAGATACTATGTGCTACACGCCTCTTTTATAACATCGTTGATTAGCTTGTCTAAGCTGTATTACTTTTATTAAAAAAAGTTGTATTTTCATTTTGAATAAAAAACAATTTTCAACCATCAATTTGAAATCAATAATTGTAATTTAAATTTAAAATACTGAAATCTAGATGGTTAAATGAGTTAATAGACATAAGAGTTTACACTTCTTAAATATAATATTCTACTAATTTTCAATAAATTTGAATGTTTGAGATTTAATTAATATAGTTTATATTTATTAGTTTTATTTTATGTTATTTATTTTTAATTTATTTTATTTTTAACAAAAATGAAATATGACATAACAAAAAACGCAAAATAACTAGTTTTTTTTTAAAAATATGGATCAAATACAGAGAAATCTTTTGGTATAATTTGAGAAAAGGGTTGGACCCATTTCTTTATACAAAGTCACTAAACTCCGCCCACTACCAATTTTCCATTTCCAATGTTTAAAGTAAATAAAACATATAAAAATAATGAAAAAAACAAGAATAAGAAAATCACAAGGCACCAAAGTTGTCAAATTCATGAGATACCCACTATGCATTATGGGCACACAGTTTGTCATATTGTTTTCCTAAAACTTAATAAAAAAATATTATAAAAATAAAGTTGTACAAGTTTCATTTCAATCTCAACATGTGGGTTAGGGTTAGACTTTTTCATATTTACAATTTCTAACTTGAAATTAGGTCAAGCTTTTTATGAGTGTCTCACTTTGAATTCATTTGATTGATCTGCCTGCTGCGACATTCCAGAGGCTGAGTCGCAAACTCCTTTAATCACCGTCAATCTCAATGTTGGTGGGACCCTAATTAATTTAACCCCTTCCTGTAATCAACGGTGATTATTGGCTTGTCACATAAATATTTTCACAGACGCTGACTGTTTTATATTTCCACATCAACATCGTGTCATCACAAACATTGCAGAATACTATAGAATTATCTTACTTGTATCTACTTCTTTTAATTAATAATATTGTCCTTTTCTTAAAAAAAAAAGAATAATATAAAATTATCAATTATTCTTCTCCCCATAAAAAGAAAAAAAAAATCAGAAAGGCCAGATAATTTTTTCTTGTTTCTATCTCTCTCTTTTTTTCTTTTTTGCCAATCTGGCTGTATAAATTAAAATTAGACTAATCATATTTTATTTCATTTAGTTTCATGTAAATAAAAATAATTTTTAATAATATCTTTTAAATTTAAAAACAAAAAAATTAAAACATAAATTGTTTAAATCAAATCTGAATGGTATATATATTTCATTTCAGGCCTTCCTTTCTTTAAAATTTTTTAAAATGAATTTAAAATTGTTTTAGAGCAAAAATGGTTGGTGAAGATATATGTGATAGTTTTAGATTTCATTTTTGTGAGGATTTGAAAATTTATAAGCAGAGCAGAAAAGTCCACAGTCAACACGATCTGTGCCATAATATTCTTCCATTCTTCGTTCCGCTTATGGGGTAAACTAAACTAAAAGGTTTAAAATTTCAATTTAAGAACACAAAATCGAAATCTTTCGATTAAATCTAACATCAACAAAAGGGGAAAGTGGGATAAAATCGTAAAAATTAAATAAAAAATAAAAAGAAAGCTGAACATTTACTTCTTATGCAATACAAGAGGTCACATACACAGACCCCTCTCCATCTCTCTCTCTTCCTCTCTCTCTCTCTCTCTCCAACCTCATTCCATCTTCTTTTCCTCTTTCCAAAGTCGTTTGTGAGATTCTTTCCAATGGTCTTTTGCAGATTTCCAGCTGAAATACGCAAATTAAATCTCTTCAATTGTAGTTGACTTGTGGCTATTTATGTGAAATTTTTTTTGCCTCTGGGGAGACTATTGAACAGACTGTTTGGGGGGTTTTCTTGCTGCTGCTTTCTTCTGCAAATTATCATTCTGGTTTTGTTTCAGAAGAGGCTTCAATACGCAGTTGTATATGCCGCAAAAGGGCTGAAGAAAACTATTATATTTCCAGAAAACTTCATCTATATTTTTTTTTTCACCAATAAAAAAAATATTTTCCCCCTTTTTCTGTGAATTTCCTCATATTTATTTTTCTTACCTTTGAGAAAAATCGAGAGACATGGTTAAGCAAGGGCCTTGCTATCACTGTGGAGTTACAAGTGAGTGGTTGTTCGTCCAATATGTATATTTTTTTTTTCTGGTGAATCTTTTGTGAGTTCTTGAACTTTTTTTTTGCCCAGAGTATTCTGCAACTGTCTTCTCAAATGATAATTTCTACTCCATATAGATGTGTGGGATGGGAAGAGTTGGTGACCAATATAAATAAAGAATTTAGGCTTCTACAATTGTGCATGAATTCACGAACACCAATTTTGTTTTTGTCCGGTGTACTTGGAGTTGAAAATTTCTGGGAACTTTATTGATTTCCTCCTTGTATATCTTTTTTGACTCTCGTCTTCATTTCTCTTTACTATTTTAAGTTTCGAGCAAATGCAGTTGGCAAAATTATACCTAGCATCCATTGAATACGAGATGGGAGTCATTACTTGATAGGCAGAATATATTCCTGTTAAGGTCTTTATATGAAAGAGTCAATCTGCATGCTGTTTGAAGCGGTAAATTGAAGAAATAGAGGTAGAAAAGAACAAAGAAAGTTATGCATTTGTAAAATGCATGCCATAGCTGATCCATTTTTGCGATCTGAAAGATTTTTTCCATAGCGATTGCCTCTTGAATTAAGCAATTCTTCATTGAATCAGAGGATCCTGCTCCAAGCATTGCTTCCATTCTTCAGTCATTTCTTTCTCTCCTTCCTTCTATCTGAAGATCAATCTTCAAGCTTCAACTTATGCTATGATAGGACTGCGTATCTTGAACTTAAATCAGTTATAAATGTTCAGGGCCTAGCAGGTGTTGTGTCTTTTAAAACGCTAGTGTTGTGTTCTTGTATTCGGCGGAGTGATTGCTGTCATAACAAAAACGATATTAATTCATTTATTTTGCTTCAACTGTGATGTCTAAAGTAAGCCTCAGCTATTAATGTTGGACAATACCTAGTTGACTAAAATGTGCACCTGAGTTTTGTCCATATCGATGTCCATTTCAGTTCAAATGAAGACATTCTCTTCAGTATTAGTATACACCTCTTCTCTGTTTGAGTTTTATCTCTATCAGCTTGAGAGCAATAAACTGAGATCTTCATTTCCCTGCTAAAGGATGTCACTTTCCATCACGTTAGTCATTTAAGCCTGTCTATTGATAAATAGTAAATGACCAACAATTCAGACCGGCGATGTAAGTTCTTTATGACAATTAATTCTGACAGATTATACTGTTTTAACCTTTAAAAGTTGTTTGTTGAGTTTAGCTAGCTATCCTTGTGCGTCCAAAGTATGAGTCCCTTTCATTTCCTCATTGGAACACTAGTTGAGGGCTGCACTGTTAGTCTGTGTGTGCATCTGTTTTCCCTCCCATGTTGTTGCTTATAGGAACTCATATAAAGCATGCATCTTTTGTCCATGCACTCCTATCGCTTGAATCAATGGTGCTACTCATTTCCGAAAGGACTCTAATGAGAAAAAATGGTACCTCTTGGAAAAAGACAGATAGCACTGTTGCCTGTTGGAACCTAGTTGTCTCATTTAAATATATTCAATGAAGGAGCTTGTTGTTGTTATTGTTGTTCAGTAATCATTAATAAAGCTTGTGTGCTTCGCAACAGAATTTTTCTGTATTAATTTCTCCACCACTTAGACTTATTTTATTTGTCTGCCCTGTAACTGCAATTTCTATGAGACGCTTGAGCTATGTCTTGACTTCTGACAAACCCACAATTTTATTTTAGTATGAACCATGAGCTTGATAAAGTATGAATTGAGTGCTTTCAATTGTCCATGTGAAGTACATCTTTATTCTTGTTAACCAAAGTGAAAATTTGCATCGATTTTTGACAATTAAGCATTGCTATAGGCACACCACTTTGGCGCAATGGGCCACCAGAGAAGCCAGTGCTATGCAATGCATGTGGATCTCGATGGAGAACTAAGGGAACCCTTGCAAACTATACCCCTTTACATGCTAGGACAGAGACTGATGATTATGAGGACCAAAGGCTTTCTAGGGCAAGGAACATAACATTAAATAAGAACAAAGAAGTGAAACTGCTCAAACGAAAGCTGAACCATGATAATTTAGTACCTGGTTGGGTTGTCCCTGATTACAATCAAGGATTTCAAAAGGTTATAGATGAAGATGCAAGCAATAGATCAAGTTCAGGATCAGCTGTTTCTAACTCAGAGAGCTGTGCTCAGTTTGTAGGAACAGATGCTAGTGACTTGACAGGTTGGAGTATGGACATTTACTATATGCTATTATAATTGCAAGATTCTTTGTTCATCATTGACTGTGGAAGCATTGATCTTTTCATTGAGATGGTATGGCTTTTATTGCTGGTTCATATTTATGGTGGGCAATCCATTATCTTGAAGTGTATGATAAAAACGGGGGAGGTGGGGTGGGAGATATAAATTATGGATTTGCAGCACGACTTACAAGGCCTGGTTATCTTGAAGCATGACTAGTGAAAAAAATTATCATGGCTTTGTATTGACAAAATGGATCCAATATGTGATATCTATATATAGAAACAGTTCTTCAATTAGATGTGGATTATCAGTTATCAATTTATCTGTTTGCGAATGTATTTCTTAGGTAATAAATTTTTTACTAACAAATGTTAATCTTTATCTGTTTTGTTATCTTAGAACAAGAACTCTTTTGTAATGCCACATATGCAATCTCATGCTTCTCATAACATATATATCTTTCCTTTTCTTTGCATAAAACATGTAGTTCTAACTCTAATACAGATAGCATCTGCATATGATTTTAGGTCCTGCTCAGTCAGTGGTGTGGGATGCCACAGTGCCCTCAAAAAAGAGGACCTGCGTGAACCGTCAAAAGCCATCTCCTGTTGAGAAGCTCACAAAAGATTTATGTACTATTCTTCATGAACAACAGTCCTATTTCTCTGCGTCTTCTGAAGAGGATCTTATTTTTGAAAGTGAAACACCAATGGTCTCTGTTGAGATAGGACATGGAAGTGTTCTCATTAGGCATCCCAGCTCTATAGCCCGTGAGGAAGAATCTGAGGCTAGCTCCCTTTCATTTGATAACAAACATTGCCCAACAAGTGAGGCGTATTCATGCTCTGGTGCCATTGATATGCATAATGATTTCACTGGCATGAACTTTCCATCTCTGGGGGTTGAAAATATCAACTACTCTGCTAGTCAAGGAATTCAGCAGGAGAAACTTAAAAGGCAAGTGCTTTTTTCTCTAGCTTGTTAGTCTGGCAGGCATGAGTATCAGCATATTTTAAATCCTATGTTGATGGCCTTTTTTTTTTGGTGTACGTGAATTTGTGAAGAAATATAATGAATGTGGAGAAATTGTCTCTCCAGCATTGAAGAACCCGAGAGAATATCCTCAATTCATGCTAACATTTCTTTTTCTTTTGGAGTGTCAGGGAGCCTGAAACTTCACAAATCCTTGGATATCGTGATTCACCACTGTGCTCAATAGATTTAATTGTGAGTTATATCTCCATTTTGTCTCTTTTGATTGCACTGTGAAATATAACTTGACAAATATGTTTATACTCAAGGTTGTGACTGAGGCCAGAAAGATAAATAAAACTAGCGATAAGATTGCATGTTTTTTGCAATCTACCGGTCTAATTTATCATAACTTTTGAGAACATGCAATGTTTTTATTCCATATAATTTGCTCATGTTTTTTTGGCCTTATAGGTTCTTTCTTGTTCTCTATACCTGTAGCATTGTTGAAATTTCCAATGGCATATGGGCCAACTTGGTGATGCCAGCTTGTGATACAAGCTTGGACATGTTTAATCTTAATTGATATATGGGTCAACACTACTTCTTTATAATTATGAAGTGCTGGAATTTTATGTATACTCGTTCCCATGTTTGGCTTAGGATGTTGTCAACCATGAGGTCTTCATGAGGAACATGACAAATGAGGAGCAGCAAAAATTACTGAAATGTCTCCCTGCAGTTGATACTGCTAAACTTCCTGACAGGTCAGTTGCTCTATCATACAGGTTTAATTGGAGGAAACTTTTCTGATGTTGCAAGTTATAATCCTTTCAGGCTTGTAATGAATTTTTAATCTGTATAATTTTTATCTTTCTAAATTGGATAGTAAGTTTAAGTGTATCAAAATTTGTGAAAGTGGTGTACTAAAAATCCGGTTGCTACAATCTAAGTCTTGGATGTTTAAGAATTTTTATGTATTTTATCACCCAAAAAAAGGAAAAATAAACTATATGTATTCCAAGCTTTTATGTGCCTCTGATATTTGAATTTCAAGGCAATTTATGATGTGAAGGTTGAATCCAACAATAGTTATGGTTTATTTATTTTTTGAATGTGCAGCCTTAAAAGCATGTTCAACAGCTCTCAGTTCAGAAAGAACTTAACTTACTTTCAACAGCTTCTTGGGGAAGGTGTCTTTGATACCTCTTCATCGGGGGCAAACTCTGAAGACTGCCAGGCTTTGGAAAGGCTTGCATTATCTGATTTTTCACAGTCAAAATGGGTTGAACAATATGATTTACTTAAGGTCTATGTTGGCTTATGATGTAGACATCATTGGTTGTGTGGTGATAAATTTCGATATTGATACTTATCAGCTATCACATCCTTTTACGAATGCAGGGACATAAAAATCAGGACGACAATCCTGTTGCTCTTGGATGTACTGGCACTGCATCAAGTAATGCTGCAAATGAGAACAGATTGCGTGACATCTCAAAACAAAGTTTTCCTGGTTAGCCGATTATCCTTTTCTTCTGCATTCGAGGAAAAAAATGATTATATACCAAGGCCTTGAAATTATCTACTCTCTTTTCCACGAAATTATATGCTGATGCAAAATTGAATTGTGTAAAACTGATACTTCAGTTTGGTTTTGCTTAAACTGGTAAAACACATGGCTGTTGGAATGATTGTCATGGCACTTTGACACTTCGTGAACGTGCTACTGTTTATGATTAAAAATACACAATTATAAGAAGCTACCTGAACTTCATCACAACAACAACCTACCTGAACTTTGATTTGCTAAATTTTGTTATCACATAAAGTTTCCCTTTGTTAAGTTCTTTGTGATTATTACTATTCTACTGCCTTAGAGGTTCTCAATTTGCTTGCAACCAATGGTATTTGTTACTAATCTTTAAATTTTACTAAAAACAACTTTGCAATAACAATGCCCTCAGGTAATAATCATTGGAATTTATTGAGCTTTTAGGTAGTGTTGCACATAGAATACATGCTGAGTGGTTTAAATGGAGAAAGGCTCCATCGCTCTAGGAGTTATTTGTGATCGGCAGGTACCTAATAAGCTTAAAATGGAAGTTTTATCAAATTGCTATAAGACTAATCGTGTTATATGGTAGTGAATGTTAGGTTTTAAAGGGACAACAGGAATATAAAGTTGGAATAGTATAGATGAGAATGTTAAAATAGATGTTTAGGTATACTTGAAAAGATAAAATTTAAAATGAGTATATGCAACAAAATTGGGCATGACTTCTATTGAGAGGAAGATGGTAGAAAGTCGTTTGAGATGATTTGGACATATACAAAGAAGGTCGTGGAAGAGAGTAGAACGAATAGTTTTGAGCCTTGTAAGGAAGAGTAGAGGAAGACTAAAGAGAACAATTATGATGGAAGATGTTGAACGATATCTCTTTGTTAATAGTATTTCCAAAAGCTTGTTTGATGATAGAGCACAATAGCTTTGTGCAATTCATATAGCCAAACCCATCTAATAAGATAAGGCTTCTTGTTGTTTTTGAGATTTTAGTTAGCGATGCAACTCAGGATTTAAAGTCCTATTGAACCGTTGTTAGTTAGAAGTGCTGCTGGTTAACTCTGGTGATTATGGCATAAACGAATAGTAATTCTTAACAATCCTTTTGTTTTTCCAGAACTGAAGTCAACAGTTAGAAGTCCCAAAAGGGTGATCATGATGAAGACTGGCAGTGAAGGCAAGGAAGTCTTTGAAGATGGCTATTGCTTCAGTCCAAAAAGCCTAATAGCTCTGCCGGCTGATGGCAGCCCATGTATGCTGGATTCTTTCAACTTCGTCGATGAGAGTTCCGATCAAGATCTGCTGCTTGAAGTGCGATCTAACAGCTCTTTTCCAGAAGCAGAACTGCTGCATCCAACCTTAAGATTTGGTGCTCAGCCAAGCACTAGCAGTAGCTTGGCATACCAGCATGTTGCCCATTACTGATCAGTCTTGTCCTGTCAGTTTTCTGGGGTGGCCGCGGCCCAAGTCTTGTGTATTGAGGTGTATGATGGCTGCTGCTTTTGTTATTATACAACCTTTTGGAGCTTGGATTGCCAAGGGATGAAATTTGGGTGGGGCTTTTTTTGTATAGGTTTGATGACAGATTGTAATGTATAGCATGAAATGCAGAGCGATGGATCTCCAGAGTTTTGATTGCTCTTGTAGTTTATGCTGTGAATAATTTTAGTCCCATCCCATGTTTTCTCCTATGAACATTCCTACCTCCTCAACATAGGTGAAGGAAAATAACGTGTTGGACAGAAACACAATGGGAAGTACAATTGAACATGACCCCAACTAGGCTAGGTTGGATTCCACTCCGGGGGAGAATTAGTTAGAGCTAATTTGGCAAGTTAATTATTAATCAGAATTTTGAATTTTTGTAGTTATGTTGTAGGACCAAGGTTTCTTTCTAAAAGAAAAGGTTGTAATGACCAATATGTCCCTGAGATTCTCCAAAAGAAAGTAGTGAATTTTTGTTGTATGATATATGATAATTTTTTTTTTTAAAAAAAGACATCGCTGGAAATGTCAGTCTTTGGAAAGTTTGAACGGCGTTGTCGTCTGTGACGGCAAAACTGGAAAGAATAGAGGGAGGGTATTTCCTTTTTAGAGTTGCTTCAAGGGTATTTTAGTTAAAAAAAATATTTTTGATAAGAATTTTGTTTGGCCTGCACGAGTGTCCTCATAATAAAAATAATTTTATTCAAAACATGATCAAACATTAAATATATACAATTTTTTTGAGGGAAAATTTAAACTTTAATTTGCGTTAGAGTTTAATCTTTGTGCTAGACTCAAATTTCTTGATGGAATATACTCCCTCTACTTCTGTTTATAAGATATAGATAAAAGATTTTTTTATTTTATTTATAGGTCATTTTATTAAATTTTTATCACAAATTTTTTCATTCACTTTTCATCAAATTTGGATAAAAAAATATTATTAAAGAATGCATATTTAGTAAGAAAAAAATTAAAAAATTAAAAATTTTTAATTTTTTTATTTTAATAAAATATATTGAAAATCACTTATAAATAAAATTAAAATTAAAAATATATTTTTTTTAAAATAAATAGGTGGCTCACTGCAATTCCCCCAGCTCGAAGCTTGTCCCAATTTCCATGCCGAGTTCAACTTGTTCATCCAAGGGCCGACTCTGGATAACCTGACAAGTGATTGTACAAAGTCAATCAAAGAGAAGGTCTAGTGCTTCGAGAGTTCTAGTTAGGTCAACGATCCAATCAAAGTCCATGAAAGCTAGCTAGGTCAATCTCATCATGAATGCACGTATAAACATGCCATACACGAGTCCATTAATAGGTGATCCTGATCTCTAGGTTCCATGTCTCCAATAATATTGATTACACTTATGTATCACAGGCTTGTTCAATCTGTTCATCAGAAAGTGCAGATCCATTCTCTGTTACTTCATTAAAAATTTATCCAGACACCAATATTCAAAACGATTAAATTGCCAATACTGAGTTCCGTTTATCAACATGTGATTACTCCAATTAAGATGTTGAAGTCAATTATATGTGCTGAGTGATTATAGCCATCTGCTTGCATTACGTTTTTTCCATCATAGGTTATGCTTTGACTTATCTGTTACAAAACCCCCCCCCCAGTTCTTTGGGAAGACTCCTGTTAAATAACATTTTCAGACTAGGGTGTTTTAATTTGTGACATTTTGAAGTTCATGTACTAAAGGTGTAGGTAAACCTTAATTAGTTTGAGTGGATAAAATGCTTTGTCTGAAAAATATTTCTGATATTTGTATCTTTGAGATTAACGTTTTAATCATTTCTTATAATGCAGGAGGTTGTGGTGGGAAAGGCACGCGGGGAGGATTGCTTGATGCTGAAGACATGAACTTTTCTTGACCCTCATGATCAAAACTATAACAGCGCTGAGGTGAAAACATCAAACTTTTGGTTGCTTAATTTGTGTTTATGCCTTGTAATTAACTCCAAGAAGTTGAAAGCAAAGTATGGTTTGCAGGAAAATGAACCTTCAAATGAAAGGGAAAAGAAAAAGAAAGGAGAGTTTGATGAGTACAACAAGGGTAGGAGGCAAGAATGATGTGCGAGAAGAAAGTAGCAATCCAGATGTTGGAGAAGGAAGCTTGGGTAAATAGATTAAAAGTACCGTAAGGATGGAATTTTTTTTTTTAATGTCCATGTCCATGAAATGATTTTCATTTATAAAGCATATATGATTATGTGCATACACATTTTAGGATATGGAAATTCATTTTTTGTTGACTCTTATTATATGAATTTTAGGATGTAATAAATGAATATGAATACAATATGTCGCCCTAGGTGTAAAATGAAAAAAATTTTAGAATATGCAAAAAAAAAAAATATTTGAATATAAGGTGCATTTCATATAAAATTTTTGACACCAAGATTAAAATATTTTGGAATATATAAAAAGAATATTCGAATATAAGGTATTTTTCATGTAAAAATTTGTTTATTTTTTTAGCAATATACAAAAAACATATTCGAATATAAGGTGAATTTCATGTAAATATTTGACATTAGACATTATTTTTAGGATAAGTAATCTCATATTTGAATATGAGGAAGCCAAATTGCATTTTCTCAAAAATTGCAGAAATATAGTGGAAGAATGATTGTTTAGAGAAGTTGAATTGCATTCAATAAAAACACTTTACACTAAGACATTGCTATACGTAATCTTATATTCAAATATATGAAAGTTAAATTACATTTTCTTGAAAATTACATGATGGTGAAAAGAGGATTGCTTATGGCTAAAATTAAATTGTATTCAATGTAAAACATTTTACACCAAGACAATATTTTCAGGATATGCAATCTCAAATTTAAATATTCAGAAGCTAAATTGCTTTTCCTTAAAGATTCCATATATATAGTGAAAGAATGATTGCATATGGTTGAAGCTAAATAGCATTTAATGTAAACATTTTATACTAAGACATTTTCTCATAATATGAGATTTTATATTCAAATAAAATGAGGGTCAAGAGTGAAATATAGCCTCCGTCGCCTTAATTTTTAAGATATTTATTTATGATATTCAAATAAAACAAGTTTTAAAAGTGAAACACAATCTCTATCATCTCTGTTTTCAAGATATATGTATTTTATATTTGAATATGGCTTAAAACATATATTTAGAATATTGCATCAATATTGTATTTTCAAAACATCATTAATGTATATTCAAATATTTTTACTTAATACCATCATATTTTCAAGATATTACAAACGTATATTCGTATAACACCATATTAATAAACAAAATAACACTTGAAGCAAAAAATTGAATTGGAACATTCATTTATCATATTATATAATTCATACAATAATAGTCACAAAAGGTTTATATATATATCTATATCTTGAAATGTCTATACATCTAATGATATAAGTTTTCTCAATTTGTGCGTGTCATCCTTACACAGGGGCCATGTAATCTTCTCTGCATCATTCCACTTTTATCAAGTGTCCTCGAGGGACCTAATCATATAAGTTTTACTCATGGGGAAACAATTTCATGGATACAGGCAACTACAAAAAGGTCTATCCAAATGGTACTTTTAATCTATTTGTTCCTTAGAGAATAAATTTTCAGACTAAACTATATGCATCAAACTATCCCAACACCATTAGATGTTGTGGCAAATTTTTTTCATAAAAAGGCTCACGTCATCAAAAAGTCTAAAGAAAATTGATGTCAGGCTCCCTTTGGGCAAAAAATTGAGGATTCATTATATGTCGCAGCAAGTAGTGTTTTATCATTATATAATAATGATATATGATTCTAGTTAGAAATGGCTTTCTCACTCCCCTTTAGGACATTCTCTCTCCAACCTAGTCGACCTCAAAGTGAGGAAGAAGATGTAACATTCTCAATTTTAGACTAGATTAATTAAGCCAAATTAGATTAATTTGGTGTATTAAAGAGGTGTGTGGCCAGAAGGGCTTAACGAGTGTGTTTGGTTTCAATTTCAATCTTAAACGCAGTTTTAAAGGAGAATCGAGTTGCCCAAGAATGAAAAAGGAAGAAATTCTAAGAAGGGAGATTCTGGCCATGAACTACGACTTGTGGATAACCTATCACAGTGCATGTGTGGCAACACGCTTGGGAGGTGCTTTCTATGCCATGCACCGTAGCGCATGGTCACATTTTTGTTATCATAAATTATAAAATGAAGCAAAAAATAGAGGAAAAACAAAAGTTAGTCGAGAGAAAGGCAAAAGAGCCGTGTTAAGGCTTGGAGAAACTAAGTATTGGGAGTATTTTAAAGCTTTTAAACATCAGAAGTAAGCTTCCTTACTTATTTCTCTCTTCCATTTTTTTGATAGTAGAAGTTAGGATTTAATTGATAATGCTAATTTTCAGTTCATAGAGGCTATAGGTCTGAGCCCATTGACTTAAATAGAGCTAATAGGAGTAGATTAAGTTAAGAAAACTTGATATTAATGAATATATGAGGATTGGTGGTTGAAGAGCATTTAGTGTTCGAAAATCCTCATAGACATGCTGGTTGAAAATAATGTGGTCCCATTAATGATCATTAAAGGGCTCAATGATATTAATGAGAGTTAAAGGAAGCTAAAAAACCCTATGGGTACTTTTACATGAGTCAAGAATGAATTTTGAGTATTAAAAAATGTTGAATTATTAGTGAAAATTAGCTTAAAAGTGGATATTGATGAATTTCATTGTAAATGCTTGAAAAGTGACTACCATTGACACTATTCAAGCTTCTTAAAAGCTTTAAGAGTGAGTATTTAAAAGATGAAACCTTTGACTTCTCAAAGATTTGATGTAACTAAAAAAATTATATCCTATACTTTTGTGTGTTAATTAGTTTGTTGAATAATATTTGATGATTGAATTGTGTGAAATTGTTTAAAATGAAAATGTGACTTGCTTTGTTTGAAAAGCCCACTATGAAGTGGTGATTTAATTTAGTTCAACGATTGTGAATTTGAGAAGTTTAATGATTTAAGTATTGTGAAGTTCAATGAAAATATATTTATGAGAAGTTCAATAATGTGTAAAATAGTAGAATTCCATAATTGATTGAAAGTTTGGAGTACAATGATTGTAAATGGGTAAAGTACAACATTGTGAAATTGAGAAGTTCAATGATTTATTTATTATGGAGTTTAATGAAAAGTTAAATTGACGAGTTCAATGAATATGAGGAGTCTAATAATTGAATTGAATTATATGTGATTTTTATATATAAGATGTATATGATGATGACTTTGGCATGTGTGATAATGAGTAATTGCATGCCTCAAACTATTGCACAATATATGCATTGTATGATCATGAGAGGTGGGAGTTTACCTAGAAAGAGAAATAGAGAATTAAATCCATGTGGTAGGGCTCCCATCTGAGTGATGGCTTGCTCAAATTTATTATATTCATATTGTCCTACTTATTCAATGAGAGAATGTCCCACTAGTTTAACAAAGAACTCGAACCTAGCTTGCTATTCACTGGTTCAATGAGAAAGCTAGTTTAGGGTGTATGATACCTCATAGTGTGAGAAATGGAAAAAATCATGTTTTACAAGTGAGTCGAGTGAGCCTTGGTCAGGTAATCCCCTTACAAGTATTTAGGCTAGAAAAGTCATGAATTATAGACTATCTCATTGTGTTATAGCCCACGATTTCATGTCAAAGAAATAAGGAGGATATAAGGGAAGTGTGATTATACATATAATGAGTAAGGGCACATGGTTGTCTATATTGTGACCCTAATGAGAATACTTATGAATTGAGTCTTAATTGCTTCTGAGTATATGTGATTGAATCGCGTAACCAACTTCTTGGGATATGAAAATTGCTAAAAAGCATTATTTCCTAAATATGTGCTATTATGCTTGGAAATATGAATTACACTCTTCAGCATTTTATATGGTTTGAAGAATTAATTTTTAATTACCACTTACATTTAAACTGATTGACATGTATTAGTATGAGTTAATTGGACCTTGATTATTGAGTAGTTATACTTACCCCACTATCTTTAATATTACAGGGAATAACTCGAGAGGATCGGATAGAAGAAAGCACTCAAAGGCTTATGACTGCGATCCTATTTAGTATGCCTCTTTATTTTGAGTCATTATGTGTATTTGAAAATTTAAATTGCTAACTAGGTTTTATCTATTTTTGATTCTTACTTACATTATGTGTTTGTGAGTTATAAGTGTATTTTGGGCCTTAGAAAGTGAGTTGATGATATGTTATATGTGATAGAGCTAAAATACTAATATAAGTAAGAGTTGAGCATATTATGTGTTAATTATAGATTATTTGATGAAAATGTGCTTAAACTCCCCCTTGTATGTTTTTGAAATTAAGGGGTTGAGTAGTGAAAATGTGATCTATAAGGATTTAATATGATATGGTGTATTGCACAAGTTAGTTTTGATGTTGTGCACGTGCTCAATTTGGAGTCAATGGCTATTAGCTTTTGATAAATGAATTGAACACTTGATTTTGTGAAAATTGTTGAACAGTGAAAGTTTTGAAAAGAGTGTCTAAATTTTTATTGAGTAATAATTTGATTATGAAATCAAAGCCATTAGTTAGAACTCAAAAAGATCTTTTCATAGACACCCAGTTTACGTCAATCAGACATTGAAAGGAGAATTGGGGTGCATCAAAAGTTGCCCTAAAGCTATCAAGTTAACGGTAAAATTTAATGTCAAAGTTCATGCAAGTGTGCCACAGTGCATGGTGCCACGAGCTACGGCACATGGCACAGAGGCGAACACATTATAGCTTATGTTCGATGAGTTGGAATGCAGGCCTTAAAATTTTATAGAATTATTTGTTTTCAATTTCCTTAGTAAATGCACTCATGTTTGAAATGATCCCATACTTCTGCATATATTTGTGAATTCTGATTTGTTTATTTGGAAGACTTTGAATATGGTTTTGGTTTTTTGTAAACTTGGAATCTTAACTTTTTCACCCATTAGTAATTTGGTATTATGTTAACTATCTTAATTCAATCTCCTTATTACTTAAGATTTAGAGTTAATTATGGGTTAGAAGAAAGAGGATATTACAGAAGATGACCTCTTAGCTTGAAGCTCAAAGAAGATCAAGAATGCTGAAAATGACAAAAGTTTGAATATCCTCTAAGGACATTGGTTAGAACTAGGTTCTAAAGAACAAGATAAAGCTCCTATAAAACCAACATTTGTTGTGAAGCTTAAAGGTATTGGTAAGGATTGTGACTTATCGAAAGATGAACCATAAAAAGATGATGATAAGATGTCTGATGAGCAAAATGGTATTGGATCATATGTTTTGATGATTACAAAACCAAGAGAAGAGGTATTTATTATGTGTCCAGATATAAAGAATTATGGATGAAGACAAAACCTCAAGAGCATGAAGAATTAAAAGAAGATGAAGAACTTTAGAATAAGTCATTTAAATTCTCTTAGATTCAATGTAAAAACTTTAAGAGTTTAATCACTTTTCATAATCATTAAAATGAATGAATCACATATCTCATTTATATACATTAAGATTCATCTAAGTATATTCAAGCTTGCAAGTGATATCTTTCTAGCTTGTTAAAAATCATTGTGGCTGATTTTAGTGTGGATTATAGAATCACACGTGATTTCGCTTTGGCGCTCATGAGAATTAGCATGTTAGGCACACTGACTGATAGATCACGCAAGATTCAGGAAGTAATTCATGGGTAATTTGTCACTTATATTATATGACGTCTTAATCTTTTCTTTTGTATGCAAAATCAAGGATGATAATCACTGGTATCCACACAAGTTTGAGCAATTATGTTTCATTACATTATGCCAAAGGCTATTTCACACGTGAGGACTGATGTTAGCCACTTGTGATTTGTCACTTATTACACAATCACATATTGCTATATTAAGTCTTAAGTTATCTCAAGCTGATTTTACTTTATGCAGATATATGATCTATGATTCATATATTCATATCTCTTGATCATACATATTCTTGCTTGAGTGCATTGCATTTCCACGGGTGAAATGTACCCGGACTAGTTTAATCCTTATTGCCTGCTATTTCACACGTGAGTAAAGATGTGATTCACGAATGATTTGTCCTTTCAAATAGACTAAGTCTAGAGATGGTTAGTTCATGCATGATAGCTTTCTACTTCTACACGAGTTTTATTCATAAGAATTAGTTTTGACATTCTGCTAGCCATTTCACGGGTAAGAGCAAAGAGGTTCCACGCAAGTTCTGTCACACAGATCTGAGATTCACCTTCTGTAAGCTATTTCATGTGTGAGAGCATAGTGGTTTCATGCAAGATATGTCACATAAAACTGGTGTTGGCCTTTTGTAAGCTAAACCACGCGTGAGAGCTGAAGGTTCACATGCAAGTTCTTGCACACAAAACTAAGTACATATTCACAGATGTAAAACCATGAGTGAGAGATCATGAGGTTCACACTTGATTTATCACATACACATACTTA